GTTCTGGCTGTGAGCACCGCGGGCTTTCCCTCCCGTCCCTTTCCCACCGCAGACACGGAGATGGTGTAGCTGGTGTTGTCCTTCAGTTTGGGAATGGCAAAGGAAGCGGCATCCACTGGGACCAGCTGGGAGGATTCCGAGTCGCCTGAGAGGAGACATCCCAAAAAACCCGCGGTGCCCATGGAAAGGGAAGTGTAAGAGTCATTGCTACAGCAGCTTCACGCACATCTGACAGCACCTCGCCAAGGAGGAGAGTTAGGAACTCATTTTTCCCACAGGGAAACTGAGGCACTGGCATCAGAGAGGTCCAGTCACAAATGTGGGAAGGAACTGATTCTTGGAATTCCCAAATCCCAGCTGTATTTATATCCTTGGTTACAGCCTAAAGCTTAGCTCAGGGCTCAGAGGAGTCCAACCTGCCCTAGCAGACATTAAAATCTCCTCCTACCCCAAGCACCCATGGAAAAAGGAATTTCCTGTGCCAAACTCCCCATTTTTGTGGGTTCTTTGTGCTCCCTGATCAACGGATCGGGATTCTTACCATTGGATGGCTCCCAGGATATCTTGTAGTGACTTATCCCAGGAAGCTTTTTCCAAGCCAGCTTCAAAGTGTTTACACCTATGTCAGTAACCCTCAGGTCCTGGATGGTCAGGATGGGGTTGGAATCTCCAGAAGGAGCTGGAAAAATGAGCCAAGATAAGATTTCAGCTCAGCCCCAGAGCAGCACCCTGGCTCCAAGCTGTGGAGGAGAAGAATTTGGGCATTCAATCAATATCTACTTTCCAAATATTATCCAGGATGCCAGGCTGAAATTCCTAATGGATCCATGGATTCCCAGCTGAGGAATCTCATCCACGTCTCTTACTACCCACACCAAACTGGTGACACACAAAGGGTCACGAGAAAAGCTCCGAGAGAGGATGGATCATCCAGACACATCTTCAAATTCCATGAAAAACTCATGGAATTTGGTGAAAAAGACACTGGAAGGAGCCAGAATTCTGTGTTGGAAGAGGCAAAGCCACAATCCAAGGAATTCCCCAGACCTCAAGAGTGAAGGTTGGTAAGTGACCCTGGGTGGTGCCTGCGGAGAGGCTCCTGCATTCCCTGGGTGGATAAATAGCTCTGGGAATTGTGTTGATAAATCCAAGATTGTCCAACACGCCAGAAGGATGTGTCCACTCCCATGGGAACAGCCATGGATTATTACCACCAGCTCGTGCCTCCACCATCCACAGGAATATCTTGGATATCTCCACCAGGATCATCGAGTCCAAGTCTCAAATGGATGAACATGAGGACTGAACCCAAAACTTTGATGTTTTGATCACCAGACCTCTGACCAACAGAGCCAATCCCACACCCGAGACCAATCCAAGCTTTGCATCCCAACTCAAGGAGGGTTTTTCCAGCAGGAATTACCTGTGTGGTGAGTCAGGACCACCTCTGGCCCCTCGGTCCTGCTGAACACAGCCCGGACACTGACCCTGTACAGGGTGTTGGGCACCAGGTGCTCAATCCGATGAGCCAACACTCTGCTGCCCAGGTAGCGAGTCCTGGCAACCTGTTTTCCTGGAAAAACAGGGATATTTCAGAGCCTGGAGATAATTTCCTTCCTCCAAAGGAAATTGCTGCACTGCCGTCCCAGAGCTCTGGGGATTATCTCTATCAATAAAACCATGAAAACAAGGAAGAGGAGCCATCACCAATGGGACCAAGTTTCCCAGCCGTGGGATCTCTTTCCTACCCCCAGGAGCAGGTCAGGAATTTGGGAAGGTGCCTGGAATGTCCTTCCCCTGCTCACCTTTGCCTGCTCCCATGGGGCTCCAGGTGAGTTTGAATTTGGTGGCAGCGGCTGTGGCGCTCCAGGCCAAGGACAGGCTGGTGCTGGTGTGGGACATCACCTTGAAGTTGGAGACAGATCCCAGAGGAGCTGCAGGATGGGGACAACATCAGGAGCATTCTGATTCCTGCCCAAAGGCTCATCACTGACACGTTAGTGAGTCAAAATTATATCAAAATTCTATCAAAGGGTCTTTGCTTATTCTTGGTGTCTCCTCATCCTCATCTCCTGGAGAGACACCAAGGTCATCAAGGTTATCAAGGAGCACGTCCTGCCCAGATCCAGTGGGAACAAGGCCAGGCCAGGCTTTGGGATCCATGGAGTCAGGAGATCCATATCAGGATCCTTGGGCTCAGGGATCCATGGAGACAGGAGATCCATGGAGTCAGAAGATCCATGTCAGGACCCAGGTGAAACACCCACCCAGAGCTCTCACAGCTGCCGAACATTCCCTGTTCTCTTCCTCACAAGGGTGAGACCATTTTCTCCTTGTGGTATTCCAGGGTTTCCAGTCACCTGCTGCCACTTTGGAACCTCTTCCAAGAATCCCACCTCTGCTTTTGGATCAGTGGTCCTGCCTGTCCCCTGCTCCCAGGGCAGCAGCCCCAAAGTTTGAGAGAGTGACAAGG